AACCAACCCTGTCACCGTTGAGTCAATTCTGACTCATAGCAACCCTGTAGGACAGAGTAGATCTGTCCATGGGGTTTCTGAAGATGTAAATCTTTATGGAAGCAGACTGCTACATCTTTCTTCCATGGAGCGGCTGTTGGGTTCAAACTGCAGAACTTTGGGTTAGCAGCTGAGAGCTTAACAATTGAGCCACCAGGGCTGCTTTATTTTGATAACGGTATACGTATATTGAGGAGCCCTGGTGGCACAATGTTTAAAGTGCTTGGCTGCTAACTGAAAGGTCGGCGGTTTGAACCCGTCAGCCACTCTGAAAGAAAGATGTAGCAGTCTGCTTCTGTAAAGATTATAGCCTTGAAAACCCTACAGGGGCAGTTCTACTCTGTCCTACAGGGTCCCTATGAGTCAGAATCGACTGGATGGCAATAGTTTTTTTTAATTTTTATTTTTATATGTATATTATAGTAGGGAAACTGAACACTTTATTTGTCATTGTTTCTTCCAATACAGCAAGGAATGCTATAAAAAGAAATTGACAGGAAAATGTTTTTATTCACCAAAACACAGCAATATTAAGTATATAGTTTTTTTTTAAAAACACTGAAACTTAAGGAATATATAAATTGTTACCATATTTTTACACAAATAACACCTACCTTCTATGTTTGTTTTCCAAGCGCACCCACTCCCTTCCACCCCCTCAACGCAAAGTATTTTTGTAAGCACATTATGCTAATATTTTTTTCTCCCCGCAACATGTAATAAAACTTGCCATAGTGGTGCTTACGAAAATACCTTGGGGGGAAGGCAAAGTTAGCAAACAAACGTAGAAGGTGGGTGTTATTTGGGTAAAAATATGGTAAATTCTAACAATTTAACTTGAAATTAAGTGAGAAGTACATATGAATATACTAAAAACCAAAAACTAAACCTGTTTTCGTCAAGTCAATTCTGACTCACAGTGACCCTATAGGACAGAGTAGAACTGCCCCATAGGGTTTCCAAGGGTGTAATCTTTACAGAAGCAGACTGCCACATCTTTCTCCCACGGAGCGTTTGGTGAGTTTAAACCACTGACCTTTTGGTTAGCAGCCAAGTGCTTAACCACTCCGCCGCCAAAACCCAAACTAAATCCACTGCTGTCAAGTCAGTTCTGAATCATAGCGACCCCACAGGGTTTCCAAGGCTGTAAATCTCTACAGAAGCAGACTGCCACATCTCTCCCCAAGAAGCTTCTGGTGGTTTCGAACTGCCAACCTTTCGGTTAGCAGCTGATCACTTTAACCACTGTGCCACTAGGGCTCCTTACTGTGCCACCAGGGATCCTATATAAATGTACTACAAAAAAATACCTTTATTGCCTTGATGACAAGTAGCTTGGGCACTTGATACCACTTTCAGACTCAACGTTTCAAGAGAAAGTGCCTTCATATATAAGAAAAAATAGCTTTTTACATTCTTCCAATAAAGGTTAATGACAGGCAGTAAAAAAGAAAAAGGTTCTGCTGATAAGGCTTTAAGTAAATGACTGTTGGCCATTAAGAGCTCAACCCTAACTCATTAGCAAATTGTTAGTCTTAAATTATGTATACATGGCTACATGAAATTGAATTGGAAAGTAGTGCTTAGTGAATTTGTTCTTCTGTTTCCATAGAAACAGATGCTGGACTGCATTTCTTTAAGACTGGTTTTAAAGTGGAAAACTACACTACATTAATACCCCAGCATGTTAAAAACTTAATATATCTCCTAGATATCTTAATTTATTGGATTTTTGGGAAACAGTGTTCATAATACTTTTATATATCTCATGTAGGGCACCTTTTATTTCTACTGAATTTCTTCACCTGTTTGATTCTCTCTCTCTCCACCCTCTCATCCCATTTCTAGAGACTAGATTAAGGGTAAGGGTCTTTCCTTATTTGACTTGGCATCCTGATCAACATATATCACAGGTTGTGGCCCAAGTTCTTATTTAATAAAAGCATTTTGAATAAATAAAATATAAAAATATAAGCTTCTTTCTCCTTCCAATTGTAATTTAAAAAGTGAGCTCTAGCATCAGACTAACATGGACTTAAATCCTTACGTCAAAACTTAGCTAGCGATGTGAATCACAGGTCAATCATTTAAACTTTCTACACAGTAGTTTTCTTATTATATTGGGGATAACAACACCCAAGTCAGAGTTGTTGTGATTTTTAAATGATATAATTCTTATAAAGCAACCTGGCATAACGTTTGGCATCGTAAGAGATCAATAAATGGTACTATAATATTTACAGTAACTACCGCTATTGATGCTGCTATAATTCCTTGCCAGGCATTGTACTAGGTACTCTACCATCTTTAATCCTGACTATAACCAGTTACCGTAGAGTCAGTTCTGACTCATGGCGACCCTATGTATGTCGAGTAGAACTGTGCTCCACAGGGTTTTCAGGGTTTTCTGAAGTAAATCACCAGCCTTACTTTTGAGGTGCCTCTAGCACATTAATTATTTGTACCACCTAGGGACCCCAATCATCACTATAAACCTGTATTATGATCTTCATTCTGCTGACAAAGACACCATCAAGGATACCTGGAGCTACTCAAATCGTAAGCTGTGAGGCCACGATTTGAATTCTTCTCTGTCTGACTCTGCAGCCTGGGCTTTTTCCAATATAACATGCTGCCTTTCCTGGACAAGTTTTAAAAAGTCAGAAAGACTCACTCACTCCCTTAAAAAGCATTTTGAAGTATTTTTATAAATTAAAATATGGCCACTTGATCCATTACAGAAGGTAGCTAATTTAAAGTAAGTAGGTTGTATAAGGAGATCTTAACCACTACATGGGGTGGTGTAGTGGTTGAGAGCTCGGCTGCTAACCAAAAGGTTGGCAGTTCAAATCCACCAGGCACTGCCTGGAAACCCTATGGGGCAGTTTTGCTCCATCCTGTACAATTGCTATGAGAGTCAACTCTATGGCAATGGGTTCTGTGTTTGGTTTGTAGGTTGTATAAAGGAATTTGCCCACACTATACTGCTTGGTTTATACTCTATTTTATTTTTGTTTTTTTAGAAAGTCAATTACGTTTCCCTGATGTAGTCCAGGAAAGCATAAAATTGGATTTTTAACTTCGAAGTAAACATCTAGGTTCTGTTTCAGAGCCCTAAGTCATTCTCAGGAGTCACAATGGTGACCGCAGAGAATTTTCAAACAGAGCTCATCTCTGCCTTGTTACCATCTCTGGTCATATTGCCTTTAAAAAAAAAAAAAAAAGGAATCAATGTCACTCATTAGCTGGGTCCCTCAACTACAGTGGGAGAAACACTCTACTAGAAGAATACAAAAACTTCCTTCTCTTAAGGGTGGAGTTAAGTTAATGAACATTCCAACAAACTTTTAAATATACAGAGGAGACATTTTATTGGGGATCTTCAGTAGAACTAGACTGAAGTCGCTAACATTTAACAGTTTTCTGGAGTTTAAACAGCACTCTCATATATTCTATGTATTGTACATAAAACCCTATGAGATTAGTGCTAATATGGGCATACTGCATATTTGAAAACAATGGCAACAACAATCTCTGTCCCCCTCAACCTGGCCAATAAAACTAGCAAAACACAAAACTTGAAGGCATGGGACTGTTAAGTGATTAATCCGAAGTCACACAGCTAGAAAGTGGTAATGTCTGTGATATTACACGTGACTCTTTGCATTAAGTTGTTCAGATTAAGGTTAAATATTTGTAAATTGAAAGAATTTATAAAGATATATTTATATGACTAATGAGGAAGTGGAGATTTGGCAAATAAGGCATGGATATGGCACTGAACAACAACCATTAAAGATAATTTAGCTAGCATTCCATTCAGCTATAGCATTTTTTTCTTTCATTGTTTTCCAGTTAATTATAAGTAAGCTATGTTATGGATTAAAGTTACAGGACTGTAAGGCAGTTGACCAAAAAAAGTATTTGGTTGAATCGTATAAGTTTTCAGATATTCTATCATTATGACCTAAAAATATGGTATTTCAACCTAAAATCAAACCTAATTAATAATTATTTCCTAACGCATTATATTATTGCTGTTGTCTATGTTGTTACAACCAATATTAAAATTAATTTTGATTCCCAAACCCAATCTTATTAAGTGGGAAATCACTGACATGTAATATATAATTCATAAAGGAATAATTCTTATTTTGAGCAACTGAATAGATATTATATATGTGTTCCTATGGTTATGATGAAGCAAAATGTATAGCTCTAAATATAATAAATAGTTTGGAAGAGAATGGTATATATCTCTGTTTCTCAGGGGGTCCACGGAGTCAATATAATTTTAATAATAGTATTGAGATATTATTTGCCATTTTTCACTCTCACTCTCTCATGAGTATATAGGGAATTTTCCAGAAGCGAGATATATATAAAAGAGGATGTGTTATATATCAACAGACTGAATACCAAAGCGGATATGAGAATCTAGCTCTCTTCTATTAAACCAGATATTAACAAAATTTACAAAAATTAAAAACAATGCTACTTTTCTCACTGTTTTCATTTTGGAAAACATTACTATTTTTCATCAAAATATATGTTATTTGTATTGACATATAGTAGAAATTATTACATTGTTGTTTTTCAATAAATTAATAAATATTTTTAATCTCAATTTTAGTTTCAATACTGCAAATATTAATAGTTGTAATCTACACAAACAAAAACTTGGGGGAGCACACAATAAATTTTAGACCAAAAACTTTTAGAAATGTTGGTATGGAAACATGAAAATACTGTTTGTTCAGTCTTAAACTTTCCCTTTACTGTTATAATTCCTAATGATGGAGACCTATAAGGTCCTTGTAGAATATGAGAAGCCATTGAAAACAGATCTATTTTAAAACCCTTACAGCATTTTATTCATAAAATGAAAATTATTGCGCTCCTTAGAAATTGCTCCATTTGCAAAATATATTTATAACTTAGCCAAAATAAATAATTCATACCTCACCGAGTGAGTAATAACGTCTTGGAATCTGTGAGTCCGGATAGATGTTCTCTAGGTACCAAGAAAAGGGCTTACACTTCAGATTTTCTCTTAGTGCTTTTCTGACTGACACATCTCCATAATCCACTTTGACAACACCTGTAATATTTCACAGAAACATAAAAATCAGTTTGTGCTATTTTTGTTTTAACACTGTCACTCTGTTTACTATCAGTTTTTTTCTCTATAATTATAATTCCATCAAATTCAACTGCATATGCAGCTGCTACTACACTGATTTTCTTACTATCATTCAACTAGTAAGTTAACAAGATATTAAAAAAAAAAAAAGAGTTCTTTCATTGGCTATGACTTTTCAAATGCAAATATTTATCACCAAGTACTTGTACTTCTTAAATTGAATAATCAACTAAGTGAAAATTGGTATTAATTTAGCATCTCATAATCAAAGCTTAGAGTTGTATGATAGCGTGTTTTTCTTTAATAAAAATTTCAATAGCTTCAATGTTTTCGTTAATGATCAAATTTTCTCTACAATGTCATTTATTCATCAGTGGTAGAATTTATGAGAAATTTATATACATATCATCCTCATAATGGACTACACGTAAGTGTTCTTTCCCTTCTTTTTGAACTTCTATCTAGGTTTAGTATACACTGAATTTTTCTTTATAGATTATTTTATTATTTTATTTTATAAATTATTGTAAGCCACTTCAAGTCCTTTGGAAAAGTAAGTTAGTAAATAAATAAGCACAAATAAACTAACATATAAACAAATTGACAGGAATATACTCATGTGTATATTAAAATTTCTTAATTTTACTTACTATAATAATAATATGTAGGAAAAAATTAATATTTTCATTTAATACCATAAAAGAAGGATACTTTCTAGTTAGGAAATAAAAACAATAATGTCCCAATTTTTATATAAACATGTATCATAGCAACTTATGAATTGCTCATTATTATCAATACTAACAATGACATTTGACTGAAATGACTAAATAATTGTGGCAAAATTCCAGTTATCCTGTAGGTTATTTTGAAAATTTTTGAACGTTTAACTTGTTTCTTTAAGGCTAGTAAGCAACCAGGCTTGGCACAGAAAAAAAAAAAAAAAGGCTCAATATTTAGGACACTGTAACCTAAACAAGCAGCAAAACCAATTGATCATTCTATAAAATAAGGAGTAATTGTTTAGAGACCCTAAATGTCTGTGACTAATGCCATTATTTGCATCACTGTATTCAAAATTGGCAGCAGTCTTAAAGCTCATCATCTACTAGGCCTGCTTTCCCTGCCCTATCCCTGCCATTGTTTTATCAGACACTTTATTTTTGTTAGAAAGCATTCACATGATGCTCAAAGAGCCAAACCACTTCCTCCCAAAAGAAAATACTGATTTTTCTAGCTGGTGCTTGAACAGAAAACACCAAGGTCTTTGGGTGTTTTAAACAGATAAATATTTGCTTTCAAAACAATTATATCCAAAATTTCCAATCTGGAGTGCAACCTTTGAAAAGATTTACAAAAATAGATCACTGAAAGGATTTACCTTTGTGTTAGGTGCTACAGCAATTGAAATGATCTAATACATAGTCCTCAAATTCACATAAAGGGATGTCATTGGGCTGGGGAGGGGGGAAGCACTGAACCTTAAAAAGACTTAGTTCAATTAGTCGATTTTACTCTTCCAGTTTCATTTTTGAAGTGGGGAAATGTAATTGAGGTGAGCTATTTCATATCAGTAACTTCCCTTTTACATACTGTTAAGATTTAATAGTCTAGGTTCCAGGATTTTTTCCTAGGAGAGGTTAATAAGCAGTTTTCTGATTGGAAGGAATGTTTGGAGATTCATTTGCATATCACTTTATATTTGATCAGAGAAAACATTAATTGCCCACATCATATTTTACTGAACGGTTGTGGGGGTGGTAGATTATTGAGAAACAATAATTCTTTCTTACCCCACCACCTCTAAGCCATCCTCTGTCACTGCCACTTAGGTTTTGTCCTAGTACTGGAGAATTATTTTAAATTAACTTTGTTGTCAGGGGCTGTCGAGTCAGTTCTGACTCATAGCAACCCTACGAACGACAGAATGAAACACTGCCCAGTCCTGCACCATCCTCATAATCATTGTTATGCTTGAGCCCAGTGTTGCAGCCACTATGTCAATCCATCTCATTGAGGGTCTTCCTCTTTTTCACTGACCCTCTACTTTACAAAGCATGATATCCTTTCTCCAGGGACTGATCCCTCTTGATAACATGTTCAAAGTATGTGAGTCATAGTCTCGTCATCCTTGCTTCTAAGGAGCATTCTGGTTGTACTTCTTCCAAGACAGATTTGTTTGTTCTTTTAACAGTTCATAGTGTAGTCAGCGTTATTTGCCAACACCACAATTCAAAGGTGTCAATTCTTCTTCTGCCTTCCTTATTCATCATCCAGCTTTTGCATGCATATGAGGCAATTGAAAACACCATGGATTGGGTCAGACACACCTTAGTCTTCAAGGTCATAGCTTTGCTTTTTAACACTTTAAAGAGGTCTTTTGCAGCAGATTTGCCCAGTGCAATGTGTCTTTTGATTTCGTGACTGCTGCTTTCATGGGTGTTGATTGTGGATTCAAGTAAAATGAAATCCTTGACGGCTTCAATATTTTATCACAATGTTGCCTCTTGGTCCAGTTGTGAGGATTTTTGTTTTCTTTATGTTGAGGTGTAATCCATACTGAAGGCTGTGGTCTTTGATCTTCATCAGTAAGTGCTTCAAGTCCTCTTCACTTTCAGCAAGTAATGTTGTGTCATCTGCATATTGCAGGTTGTGAATGAGTCTTCCTCCAATCCTTATGCCACATTCCTCTTCATATAGTCCAGTTTCTCGGATTATTTACTCAGCATACAGATTGAGTAAGGATGGTGAAAGAATACAACCCTGACTGACACACACCTTTCCTGATTTAAAACCATGCAGTATCCTCTTGTTCTATTTGAATGACTGCCTCTTGATCTATGTACATGTTCCTCATGAGCACAATTAAGTGTTCTGGAATTCTCATTCTTTGAAATGTTATCCATAATTCTTTATGATCCCTACAGTCTAATGCCTTTGCAAAGTCAATAAAACACAAGTAAACATCTTTCTGGTATTCTCTGCTTTCAGCCAAGATCCATCTGACATCAGCAATGATATCCTTCATTCCATGTCGTCTTCTGCATCCAGCTTGAATTTCTGGAAGTTCCCTGTTGATGTACTGCTGCAACAACTTTTTAATTATCTTCGGCAAATTTTTTTTTGCATGTGATATTAATGATAATTGTTTGATAATTTCCGTATTCCGTTGGATCACTTTTATTTGCAATGGGCACTAATATGGATCTCTTCCAGTTGTTTGGCCAGGTACCTGTCTTCCAAATTTCTTGGCATAGATGAGTGAGTACCTCCAGGACTGCAACCATTTGTTGAAAAATCTCAACTGGTATTCCATCAATTCCTGGAACCTTGTTTTTCACCACTACCTTCAGCCTGGGCTTCTTCCTTCAGTACCATTGGCTCTTGATCATATGCTACCTCCTTAAATGGTTGAACATCGACCAATTCCTTTTGGTACAATGACCACGTGTGTATTCCTTCCATCTTCTTTTGATGCTTCCTGTGTCATTCCATTTTATGCCCAAAGAATCCTTCAATCTTGCAATTGGAGGCTTGAATTTTTCTTCAGCGTTTTCATCTTCAGAAATGCTAAGCATGTTCTTCCTCTTTAGTTTTCTAACTTCATGTCCTTGCACACTTCACTTAATACTTTGTCTTCTCCAACCGCCCTTTGAAATCTTTTGTTGAGATCTTTTATTTCATCATTTTTTCCATTAGCTTTAGCTAATGTACGTTCAAGGGCAAGTTGCAGAGTCTCTTCTGACATCCATTTTGGTCTTTTCTTTCTTTCCTGTCTTTTTAATGATCTTTTGCTTTCTTCATGTATGACGTCCTTTATGTCAATCCACAACTTACCTGGTGTTTGGTCATTAGTGTTCAATGTGTCAAATCTACTCTTGAGATGGTCTCTAAATTCAGGTGCGATATACTCCAGGTCATATTTTGGCTCTTGTGGACTTTTAAAATTTTTCTTCAGCTTTAATTTGGACTTGCATATTAGCACTGGATGGTCTGTTCTGCATTTGGCTCTTGGCCTTGTTCTGATGGATGATATTGAGCTTCTCCATTGTCTCTTTCCACAGATGTAGTTGATTTGATTCCTGTGCATTCCAACCGGCAAGGTCCATGTGTATAGTCACAATTTATGTTGTTGAAAAAAGGCATTTGCAATGAGTAAGTTCTGAGTCTTGCAAAATTCTATCATGCAATCTTCAGTATCATTTCTATCACCAAGGCCATATTTTCCAACTACTGATCCTTTTTTTTTTTTTTTGTTCCCAACTTTCACATTCCAATCACTACTAATTATCGATGCATTTTGATTGCATATTTTATTAATTTCAGACTGCATAAATTGGTAAAAATCTTCAGTTTCTTCATCTTTAGCCTTATTGGTTGGTGTGTAAATTTGAATAATAGTGACATTAACTGGTCTTCCTTGTAAGCATGTGGATATTATCCTATCACTGACAGGGTTGTACTTCAGCATAGATCATGAAATATTCTTTTTGACAATGAATGCGACACCATTCTTCTTCGATTTGTCAATCCCAGCATAGTAGACCATATGATTGTCCAATTCAAAATGGCCAGTACCATCTATTTCAGCTCACTAATGCCTAGAATATTGATCTTTATGCTGTCCCTTTCATTTTTGATGACTTTCAATTTTCCTAGATTTATACTTCATACATTCTACATTCTGATTGTTAATGGATGTTTGCAGCTGCTTCTTCTTATTTTGAGTCATGCAGTTAGGCAGGGACATATGACTAGTCTTGGCCAGTGGACTATGGGGGAAAGGAACATATGCCATTTCTGGTCTAAAACATAGAAGAGCAGGTATGGGCCCTTTCAGCCCTCTCTTCCCCTACTGCAGGGACTCAGGAAGTCATATTCCAGATGGTGCAGCTACAAGACAGTAGGGGCTTTTTTAACCTGTCATTGAGCAACTGTGAAATAGAGCAACTTCCAGT